ATAAATTAATATTAAGGAAATGAATGAAAGTCTACCGATGAGATTACACAAGTCTTAAAGGAGATACATTATGGCTGCTCTGGGAAAACAGAGGCAAGAAGTGGCCTCCATCACCTGGGCCTCCCTTTCTTTACCCATAAGGCAACATGGACTTTGCCAGCTGGCATATGACTTTAATAGGTCCCGAAGCAATAGGGATATCTCCCACTCTCCCTCAGGCTCAGGTGTGCTATGTGAAAGAGGAGGCTTGGCCTTTCTTGGTTTCATCTGACCCAGATAACGTCTGGTCTAGCTTTACGGCCTGACGTCCAGTTCAGCTACATCACACAATGGAGTCATGAGCTGCTAGCACACAGCTCCTGCCTACTAAGCCTGGCCTTCCTCACTTTTATGGCTGAAGAGGATGACTTTGAGAGGGTTGGGGTTTTTTTGCTAGTGTCACTTCTTTGATACCAGTTCCATGCTTGCTTCATCACTTAATAAGCTTTTGGGGCAGTGGAAGGGACGTTAGAGAAGGGGAGGGATGTTTAAGGGTCCCATAACGTAGGGGCTGCTGTAAACAAGACTCTGCGCAAGAAATAGGTCTCTGCTCTGTGTCTAATGCACACCTTTCTTCATCTCAACCTCCATGTCATTTCTAACACCTCCTAAAAATGTAGCATTCTGGCTTGCCCTCAAGGTCCTGAGCTGTACTCGCAAGGCACACAAAAACAAATGTCCTTCAGATTTGTAAGACCTGGGACCAGTTAAATCCTCACTAAATTCTCCTGGAGGACAATGATTTATGCATTGTTTAAGTGTATTAAGCACCTATATCTAATTGTTTCTGCATGTAAGTGATGAGAACATTTTGTAATTAGGTCATTACCACACATGGCCCAGTAGCCTGAAGATAACAGTGCATTTTTAATAAGTAGCAGAGTCAACATTACCATTATCAGCTTTTAGACTTTCCCAAATTAAAGTGCCTCACAGAAACGTAGATACAATTTCCAAGAACATCTAATCCATGTTTTGTACAACGGGTCAACTGAGGACTAAAAAGCAGACTAAATTAATAGAAGGTAGGTTACGTATTGAAGAGTAACAGTGTGATCATACAGTTTTTCAATAAAACTTTTGACAGTTTCATTGAAACATGTATTAGATTCACGGAGTTAGTGTGCCAAGATACTACCAAACTTCGCACAGCAACTGGTAGCAAATTAACACCTAATCATTAGATGGAACATACCCCAATGAATGGGCCACTATGTTACAAATAATTTCTTTCAGCCTCCCATAATGTCAGGAGCAGTTGCCTTCAGTTAACTCTTAAATACCAGTCAGATTCCCATTGTATTTCAAGATAGGTCAGTGTATCAGGACCACCGAATCAAGCAACAGAAAAATGTCAGAAAGAGATTACATTAATAGTAACTTATTTTCAATGAAATGCCAAGTAAAAATAGTTGCGCTATTGTGACAACTCCCTCTTTCTCCCCCCAAAAGATTTTCTGCAGGTTTCCAGTTCGTTTCTAACAACTCATTTATCTAGTTACTATATCCAGGGGAGAAAGTAACCAATTATTCTAAAATATCCCCCCAGTATCCAAAACTGCAGAAGAAAAAAGAGGGATTAAAAATCTTATCATTCCCAACCTGAAACAAATGACCAGTTACATAGATCTTACCCTCTGCTTTTGGCAGTATTTCAGCTCCACAGACAATACAATAAAGTCCTTTCTTGCAAGGCTGGTGGTGTGCTTCCTTCTAACAAGGCAATATACAAATCCCTGTAAATACTAGTTTGCATATAGTAACTATGTGACTATGCAGATTGAAGCATTTAAATATAAACACAAAGAAATAGATCAAAACTGCTTTAGAGAAATATACTACTTGAAATACTCAAAGAAGTCTACTTGAATCAATGTTTATCATTTATATTAGCTAATAATTGAAATATACATCATGCTAAAAATGCTTAACCTAACTTAAATAGAAATACTGTCATATAAAATATGAGGTATTTTATAGTCTGTAACACTCCAGGCTATCAAAGATTTAGTTTGGAATTTTGCAAAGGAGCCCAGGAAGATAGGTGCCCAACTCTCCTTGAGTTTCAATGCGATTATGTGCTTACACTTTGCAAATCCTGCCCTAAAAGTCATGTACTAACCAGAAATCGGAAGCACTGCTTATATTGAAACAGGAATCACATTTGTAATGAGTTATGAGCTGGACTCTGTAGGCAGTCCATATCTGCGGCTTCTACCTGTGTTAACAGGACTTGAAAACACTCAGCCTTTTTGTTTTCCATTATTGAGTGTGTAAATCATAAAGATCTAGAGCAAACCATACAGACCATGAATAAACTATTTCATCTGTATTATTTCACTTAAAAGATTATATAATAAATTGTTATTTCCCTTGCACCTTAACATTCAACAGTAGCCACCTCAAATAGGTACTTCATTCTATCTACATGGTACCTTTCTTTCACGGGTGTAGGCACTTTGTCTAACTGTAGCTTTTCTTCTTCTGCATTGCCTCTGAACTTTCAATCCTTTAATAAAGTCAAGATTTTATGATTATTTTAGACAGAAGAGATCATACCTAGCTATTATATCAAAGTTTGAGAGGAATTTTCAATAATTTAGCTTTTACAGATTTGGGAAGTCCAAACAAATAATTCTAGGAAAATTGGTACATTGACTTCACTTCCCTTCTACTTGCAGGCTAGGCAACAGGTTATTTAATTTACTACTGGGAATCACCATAAATATATTAACTATAGAAATAAAGAATATTCTTACCACTAACATATTAAATACCATAGTTAGTTAGATACAAAGACAAATTAAGATTGAATTTACACAGCTTTTACGCCAAAAGAAACTGCCCACCCCTTACCCCCCAAGCCCCAGCAGTACTACAAAGGATTACTATCCATCAGTTGTCCCAAGCAACACAGCTATGGTCAGGATTTGAGTTTAGTGAATTTATGGATAGAGACTTTTCAAGAAAAATCTAGTATCTAGCACGCCAAATGCTGATATTTCAATACATATTTTAAAAAATAATTGTTAAGGAGTAATTTTATATAAAATGTAGGCATTGTAAATTAATGCAAAATATTTGACATGAAGACAACCATGTCTTAACGGATTTCTAATCAAAGAAAGATGCAACACAAGGCACAATCTGCTCCAGATAAGGAAAGGAAGATGGATTTTCTTTTTTTTTTTTTTTTAATGTTACGGATTTAAAGACAGACAAATCTTCTCAAAGACAAATAAGGGATAGTGGTCTATGAGATGAGAAGACAAGCCACAAAGCTTAAGTGATTTCTATTATCTATTCAGATGTACATAAACATAAAAGTGGCTTGGTACAGAAGACTTGTTTTAAGACGACTGAGCTTTTAGAAACTCATGAGAATCAAGTTGATCAACTCTTGGGAGTGTAGCTGCAAAGCCACCTGCCACAGGCTGCCTCAGAATTTCCTGTGGGATATAGGGCAGTTCTAGTCCAGAAGCCAGTTACAAACAGAACCATGCCTACCCTACTAAGTCCTGATATTCAGTCAATTACTTAAATCTAAATTAAGTATTTTTATCTTTAGATGTGTCATATGTTTAAATTGCTATCAATATTAGAGCTTGCTTCTGCCCTATCAGCTAGTTCAAAACCATCAGCATCCAATGATTAAGCGAATACCAGGAAACCTAAACCAAGAAAACATGTTCCTTACAGGGCATCAATGTAACAAAAAGTTTAACCACATGTCTTATACTAAGTACTGCAAGATAATGCTTGTTAAAGAAATTCAACAGTATTCTTGCCATTCATGCAAACAGAGTATCTAATTTTATAAAGATGCATTTATTGTGTAAAGAAAGGGTACAATTTAAATCCTATCGATACGAACACATTCACAGCTCTGTAGAGGTGGACGTCAGAATGTTATTTAGATGAATTTCCATGGAAACTGACCAGTTAACAATTTCACCTCTGCTCTCAGTCGAAATATATAAATACCTATGAACCAGTCTTAAGATTGTAAAAAGCCTGCATCTTCATATTAATATATGATGGAAATGAACAATCTTTTCTTGAAAAATCAGGCATGGTATGTTTTATTACAGCAAAATCCTGGCTGTTTTGATTGTAATAAATGAAAGAAATGTTTAAAATACTTAAAAAAAAAGACGACCGAGGAAGATTTAAAGATCTTTATGTACAAATTTACATTGTTATATATTGCATAGAAAATGTGTTTGTTAGGCATACAAATGAGTACATGTTTTGATATGAATACAAACAGAATCTGACCAAAAGAAATTAGATCCTCTCACAAAAGAAAATTTTAAAGAAACCTCAACTTTTATATAAAACGAATAAAGACCTCTGAAGAGGCCTCTCATCATCATCAAATATCAAAATGTTCAAATAATACTATACTATTACTACTACTACACAGCTTCTGATAGACATTTTGACAACAGAAATTTGAGGGAAAAAAGTACTGAAGAATACACCTATTTCAGTATCTAGGCTCAATCTATCATATTATTTGACCTGCAAAGATGCTGATCTACATATTTAATTAAAAAAAAAAAAAAAGCCCTAACAAATGCAGAAAACCGTAATTTGATTATATGGGTTTTTTGCTTTCTGAGAAAACCCCAATTGTTTGATTCTATTTAATGGCAGATTAATTAAATCTGTAATAGACAAACCTCCTCAGCCTATAATTACAAGTCAAATGCTACTTGGGCTTCTATTTAGAATTTCCACACATGATGTCCTTTCGCCACACAGTTAGGATGAAGAATCTTAATTATATCTATAGAAAATTGCATGTTGCATAATTTTCACAGTGAAAAACAAAAAAGTATAATGAAAAATCGAGTCTGATAGTAGCATATATTAAACGAGAACCTGAAAGCCACCACTGCTCTATAGCAAGGCTATGTTGTAAAGGCTGCTCACTACGTTTCCTACAGAAGCTGTTACTATGTGCTAGTATTGTTCAATAGAAAAGATGACACACCTTTATTTCGTGATCTGGAAAGATTGATTTTCCGTTTTGTGGTGTCCATCTCTTGAGATGTTATCTGCTCTGCTTCTATTTCACTAGTCATTTCTACATTATTAACTGCATTATTCTTACTCCCCTCATTTTGCGTTATTCCATGTAAACTTGTGTTTCTGCCATCATCATCAATCATTTTTTTAGTCACACTTAATGTTTCTGAGGTGTTGATTGCACAAAGGTCATCAGTGACTGTGGAGTTTCCACATTCAATCCAATTCTCATTTGTGTTACCGGTTGGAACCAGCGGTCTGATTTTCTGTTCCTCTGATTCTACATCATCATAGAGTTCTGGTGTGAAGTAGATACTGTCATCCTCATCTTCAGCTTCTGCAGATACATTTAACTTT